GATGGAGAACTCAAGGTTGGGCCCAACGTTGGAGAAGAACCCATGGCTGAAGAGGAACCCAATGTTGGACCCAACGTTGAACCCAACGGCGGCGTTGAACCCAACGTTGATGAAGAACCCAATGTTGGACCCAACTTTGACGAAGAACCCAACGTTGAGGAAGAACCCAATGACGGCGTTGAACCCAACGTTGAAGGAGAACCCAATGAGGAACCCAATGGTGGGGCCAAGTTGGATGAAGAACCCAACGTTGACCCCATCGATGGTGTTGAACCCAATGTTGGACCCAACGTTGACCCCGTTGACCTTGACGTTGATGAAGAACCCAACGTCGGCCCCATTGACCTCTTTGAAGACGAAGAACCCAACGTTGGACCCAACGAGGATGAAGAACCCAACGATGACGAAGAACCCAACGTTGATTCCATCGTTGACCCCGTTGACTTCACTGAAGACGAAGAACCCAACGTTGGCTCCAGTGATGATGAAGAACCCAACGTTGATGAAGAACCCAACGTTGACCCCGACAACGGCGTTAAACCCAACGTTGAGTCCATCGTTGGCCCCGTTGGCCTCTTTGAAGATGAAGAACCCAACGTTGGACCCAACGACGACGAAGAAACCAAAACTGGACCCAACGAAGACGACGAACCCAACGTTGGATCCAATGAAGACGAAGAACCCAAAATTGGCCCCAATGAAGATGAAGAACCCAAAGTTGGATCCAACGAAGACGAAGAACCCAAGATTGGACTCAATGATTGTGAAGAACCCAATGAGGACCCCAAGTTTGGACCCAACGACGACGACCACGAACCCAAAATTGGACTCAATGATTGTGCAGAACCCAACGTTGACCCCAACGAAGACGAAGAACCCAAAATCGGCCCCGATGAAGACGAAGCACCCAAAATTGGACCCAACGAAGACGAAGAACCCAACGTTGACCCCAACGAAGACGAAGAACCCAAAATTGGACCCAACGACGATGATGACGAACCCAACGTTGACCCCAACGAAGATGAAGAACCCAAAATTGGACCCAACGACGCTGACGAACCCAACGTTGACCCCAACGAAGACGAAGAACCCAAAATTGGACCCAACGATGATGATGACGAACCCAACGTTGACCCCAACGAAGATGACGAACCCAAAACTGGCCCCGATAAAGATGAAGAACCCAAAATCGGCCCCAACGATGACAACGAACCCAACGTTGACCCCAA